TCATTCATTCATTCATTCATTCATTCATTCATTCATTTTAAAGATTTTATTCCTGAAAGACACAGAGGAGAGAGAGGCAGAGACATAGGCAGAGGAAGAAGCAGGCTCTATGCAGGGAGCCTGATGGGGGACTCGATCTGAGGTCTACCAGGATCACACCCCAGGCCACAGGCGGCATTAAACTGCTGCGCCACTGGGGCTGCCCCTATTTATTTTTTTAAAGATATTTGAGAGAGTGTGTGTGCCTGGGGTGGGGACAGAGGAAGAAGGAGAATCTCCAACAGACTCCCTGCTGAGTGTGGAGCCTGACTCGGGCTCAGTCTCATGACCCCGGGATCATAACTTGAGCTGAAACCAAGAGTCAGACTCTAAACTGACTGAGCCACCCAGGGCCCAAATATCCTTTCGGTTTATAGACCCGCTCCATAATCCAAGTCCATCCAGCCCTGGTGGGAGAGATTTTGTACCTGTTCTTTTTCTGGAATGTACTTTTCCCATTCTTTATTGGTTGGTTGCTAGCCTGTTTGTTCTCAGCCTAAGGGATACTTCCTCAGGGATGCCTGCCTGGGCTCCCCCTTACGCTCCAAGTCTGGATCCCCTATTTCTAAGCTTTAGGGCAGGCAGTGGCAGGGGCACATTCATTGGGGGATAGCCCAGGCAGTGGCTGGTTTTGCTCACTGGTGTATCCTCAGCCTGGCTGATCCCAGGAGCCTCTCCAGTCTCTGACACCTGTTCTGTGCCAGTCCTGGGCTGGGGGCCCCACACTGAGTGAGACTTTTTCCTTCCCCGGACAGTTGGATTAGGCTTCCAGGGGGTGGAGGAGGGGAAGGCTCTTCCCAAGCTGTGGCCTCACCAGTGTCTCGGGCCTCCTGTGTGTCCCAGCTTTGACAGTGAGAAGGCCGGAGATCGGGAGGTGCAGAGGACAATGTTGGAGCTTCTGAACCAGCTGGATGGGTTCCAACCCAACACTCAAGTAAAGGTGAGTATTGTCATCACAGATAAAGGAAATGGGGCCAGGGACCTCCTCAGTCACCCAGCTTAGTGCAGCTAGAATTAGGGTTAAGGTTGTCTTGCTGTTTGATCTGGACCCTGGGCTGCCTCCGTCTGCCTGCTGTCTCTCTGGGAGCCCCGGCTTCCTCAGTTCACATTGCTGCCTCTGCCCTTGCTCAGGTCATTGCAGCCACCAACAGGGTGGACATCCTCGACCCTGCACTGCTCCGCTCAGGCCGTCTGGACCGGAAGATTGAATTCCCAATGCCCAACGAGGAGGCCCGGGCCAGAATCATGCAGATCCACTCCCGCAAGATGAATGTCAGGTGAGCGAGGACATGAGCAAGGCGCTGAGCCCCAAAGAGCCATCTTTGTTGTCTTGGTCCTGAGTGTCCCCAGGTCTCTGCCACCCCATCTCCCTTCCCTGATCACGTGTTTTACATGCCAGCCTCCATTTCTCCCCAGAAGCCTGAGATAGAACCTTACTGGGGTCTGGGCCCTGGTTCTGGGTGCTTTACTCCTTAGAATCACCCTGCCCTTCCTCCCTCATGGTCCGAAGTTGCACAGGCGGAGGTCCTCAGTTTCCTTGACTCCCCGTCTTGGCAGATGAGCACAGCCCAGCATGGCCCTGAAGAATCAGCTAGGGGCCACTGGGCTCTGAAGAATCAGCTAGGGGCCAAATGGACTTGGGTTCAGATCTGTGTGACCTCTAGTAGGTGGTATTTCCCATCTAAGCCTGAATTTTCTTGTCTGGTGCTTGGAGATAATGTCATGCACCATGTGGGGCCATGGCATTGTCCATGTGGGGCCATGGCACTGTCAAGTGAAGTGCTTGGTGTGGGAGATCAGGGCAGCGCTGTGCTGATGCAAGGCCTACACTACTCAAAAAAGGGGAAGACTGCCATCCTCTTGCCCCCTCACCCCAGGCTGAATCAGTCCCTGGGATCTTTGGTGCAGATTTCTAGAAGGTTAGAGCTCAAGAGACACAGAAATAATCTGGTCTCTGCTTTGACCTCCCTGCCCTTTGTCCTCTGTCTCGTACTGAGAAGAGAACAAGGCACAGCAGGGAAGGGATTGCCATTGTCATGGGGCGAGGGGACCTTGCTGCTTGATGGGGGGTGTGGGAGGACATCTCCCTCTCTTCCCTCTAGCCATCAATAACTGAGTCCTGGGTCTCTGTCTCTACTCCTTCTCCCATCCAGTCCTGATGTGAACTATGAGGAGCTGGCCCGCTGTACGGATGACTTCAATGGGGCCCAGTGCAAGGCCGTGTGTGTGGAGGCGGTGAGTGGGAGCACGTGGAGAGGGGATTGCTTCATGCTTTCTTGCCCCCCTTCCCTGAACAGGATGGGGCTTGTGACTGCAGGAGACTGCTGGGTGAGGGAGGCTCAGAAGGCTGAGGCACTTGAGAGCTGGGTCACGGGTGCAGGAAGGCACCCTAGAGCCTGTCTGTCCTGGGTGCAGGGCATGATCGCGCTGCGCAGGGGTGCCACGGAGCTCACGCATGAAGACTACATGGAAGGCATCCTGGAGGTGCAGGCCAAGAAGAAAGCCAACCTGCAGTACTACGCCTAGGAGGTTGCTTGCCACACCTGCTCCCTGGTCTGGTGCTGGTTAAAATTCAAAATAAAAGATGGTTTCAGGTCCCTGCCACCTGTCTGTTGCACGTTCCCTGGGGCCTGGGTGGAAGAGCTTACCCGTCCTCCCCAGATGCTACTGCCTGGAAACCCTAGACTGCCATGGGCCTCAAAGCAGTTGTCAGGTGAGGCCCCAGGGAAGGATGGGTATGGATTACAGCTGCTGCCTGGGGTCTTCCGGCCTCCCCCCACCATGTCCGTGTCCTTTCCGACCCCTTTCTCACTCCCCAACCCACCTGTTGGCTTCAGAGCTTGGGGCCCTACAGCTCCAGGACCAAGGGCCGGAATAGAAGCCAGTCTCTCACCTCTCACATTTTGGTGCCCTTGTCCTTGCTTCCCTGGAAAGCCAGGCTCTAGGTCTTTGCTCCTTGGACAACCTCCTGTTTCTTGGCCCCTGAGCTGCCTCTTCCTCCTTGTGTCATTAACTTTCTTGGCTCGTTTTTTTTTTTTTTTTTTTTTAAGAACTATTTTATTTATTTGAGACAGCGAGAACAAGCAGGGGGATCTGCAGACGGAGAGGGAGAAGCAGGCTCCCCACTGAGCAGGGAGCCCGATGTGGGGCTCAGTCCTAGGACCCTGGGATCATGACCTCAGTCAAAGGCAGACATTTCACCAATTGAGCCACCGTGGCACTCCTCTTGGCTCATTTCTTCTTGCTGAGACCTGAACCTTGAGCAAGAACACTGAGGGCCCTTCTAGGCCTGACCTTTGGTCACAAGTGTTCTCCCTGGCCCCGTTCCGCTGTCAGCCCCCCTCCCCGTCAGGCCCCATGTCCTGTCCATTTCCTTGCGGATCTCATTGGTTTTCTGCTTGCCTACTTTCCAGCCCCCCCACACCATAGCTGGCCTAGTGGCTTCACTGAGGGCTCACTCTGGGCCCCATGCTGAACGGCTCTCGTGCATAATTTGATCTGGTTGTCTCAGTGGCCCCCAGCAGGCCAGTCCCATTTCATAGATGTGTGTAAGCAGCTGGGCCAGGATTGCTCTTAGGACATAGCTGGGATTTAAACCCAGGACAGTAAAGCACGTCTGCTTTCTACTGTGCTTTCAACGGCAGCTTTCTTGGGCCCCGGGATGCCTTCTGGGGTAAGAGCCCCTCAAAACTCCTGTCAGCTCTTACCTGCCCTCTAGCAAAAGACTCTCCACACCTCTTACCTTGTCCTCTCCCCCAAGTGGGTGTGGACATGCCCACAGTGAGCTCCCGACTGAGCCAGCCCATCAGGAGGGCTTGGCTCCATTGCTAGCTTCCTAACCCTGGAGTCCCATCGCCTCCAGGCCACCTTCCAGAGTGTGCTAGTGTTTGCGGTGGGGATCCCCTTGGTGATCCATGGACTTCTACCCCCTGCCCCAGGTGTTCCCAGCACAGCCTCTGATGGCTTCCAGTTTGTCTCCCTGAGGACAGACTCGGCCAGGGACAGACTGGCTGCCATTGCTTCTGCATTCTCTGTTCCCTCTCCTGACCAGTCAGGGCATTCCCCTCTTGGTACCAGAGTGAACCCACAGCCCCCCACCCCCCCATGCCCCACAAGCTTCCTCATTTATAAATGGGGCCCCACTGCCTCCCTGGGCAGGCCAAGTACCGTGATTGCACGTGCACTTGCCTCCCTGCACGGGCTTAACAGGTAGGAGCCCCAGTGCCCCGAGGGAGCGGGGGTGGGTGACCAGCCCTGTGTCCCTGCCTTGGCTCCCTTTTTGCCGACAAGCTGCTGGGTCAGAGCCAGGCAGTCCCAGCTGTGAATGCAGCTGATGGCTTCTGAGCGCCCCGGGCTGACGCCAGGATGGCACAGATAAGGCAGTTCTCAGCCAGGGGGCTACTGAAAGCTGTCTGGTTGGCTTGGAGAGCACAGGGAACTTCTCCCTTTCTTGGGCTACCAGTGTGGGGAAGCAGCACCCCCCGGTGCCTGATGCTGCCTTTAGGCTCTGAGGAAGCCAGGATATGTGGAGTAAGGCTCCCATCAGCTTTTTAATTTCATTGAAGCACTGCTGGAGATGACTTTGTGAATTGCCCTCCCTTCCTTCGTTTACTCTGGGGACAGACTGGGGAAAAGCCCCTAGCTCTTAAGTCTGTGAAGTAAGGACAGCCACCTTGGGGGTGACGGCTGTGATGGCATAGCGCCAGCCTTGTAGTAGTGGACCACTAAGCTAGCGACAAGCCCAGTAGGGCACAAAAGGCTATGCCCTGTTCTAAGAAGCACTGCAAGGCTAAGCGTTCAGAGAAAGAGCTGGAGGGCGGTGGGGGTGACAAGATGGGCAGGGTGGCTAGCTGAGTGGAGGGTGGGGGGGGGTGCCTCGCAGCCAGCAGCCTGGCTGGAGCAAGGGGCGCCCAGGAAAGCCCTGCCTGACCCTGGACTCGTGTGCATGAGAGAGGCAGCCCATTTGTATATAATATTTATTTGTATCTCATCTATAGAATAGGTATTTACAGATAGAAACGGAACCACAGCAAAACTGCTGTAAACCCATTCAGACCCTCTTGATGGCTGCTTCTCAGAACATCCACGGTTGAGCAGGGCTGAGCCTGGCTGTGGCGTGGGCCAGCTGAGTACCTGGGCGTCAGCCAAGGGAAATAGCTGGGGATTATGGCTTCAGCATTCTCCCAGAGCACATTCCTGAGTGCTGACAAGGCAGGGCCCTCACCACCCCCAACTTACCCTCAGCGCAGCGGGACAGGAAAAGGGGCCTTGGCAGGGAGGGGCAGCCCCGGCCCACTCTTCCTGCCCCCGGGGTACCTCTCCTGGACCCGGGGTCCTGGCCCGAGCATCCCTGAGCTGGACCAGGAGGTCTCTCTGGCCCAGGGCTGCTCACTGCCCTGCAGGCTGCTGTTTGGCAGCTGGAGGTGGCAAAAGCTGCGGGTGCTGCCAGGGTGCATTCACCAGGGGAGCAGGCGCTGGCCCAGGGCCGGCTGCCACGAGGAAAAGGTCTTGGAAGGCCTCTCCCAGCTCCACCCCTGGCAGGGTAGGGCTGTCAGTGCTGAGTGGGGCCAGGGGCTACGCGAGCACCCGCCTCTCCTTTCTTTGGCCTTAGAACTGGCAAAGGTTGGGCCAGGTAATGGACACAGCAGAGAAGGCTCCCTGGCCTGAGTCTTAGGCTGCCCGGGGCTCCATGCCTGAGGAGAGCCAGGGACACTCCCCCTGGGCCCCAGGGGGAGACAGCTCGGGCTCCCTGGGGCCCTGGGCTCCTCAGGCTGTTCTCCCTCCCACTGTGGTCTGGATCGGGAGAGGCCTCCACTTGGGATGCTTCTGTTCCTCTGTTCACGGAAGAAATGCAGGATCACAGGGTGGCAAGGCGAGAAAACCACAGTGTGGCTGGGGGCAGGCGCGGGCATCGGGCCCTGGGCCCAGCGCATGATCACAGTGTCGGTCTCACACACAGCTCTGGTCACACGTGCACCTGTATGTGCACACACACACGGACACACACATGCCGTCCTCTCATCTGGTCAGAGGTGCGCTCTCAGGCACTCGCCCTCTGCCTCACACACAGTCACAGAGTGAATCCGAGTCTCTTATTGCTGTGGGGGGGCCTCGGGGACGGTCACTCCACGAAGAGCGAGAACAGCACCATCACCACAATGCCTGTGCAGAGCAGCAGCACCTGCTGCAGGGAGCGCCTGTGGGGAGAGGGGCCGGGTTCAGGGGGTGCTGAGGAGCGGGCAGTGCCCACAACCCTGCCCTCTTGAGAGCCCCAGGCCCCCCGCTGTGAGTGACTGTGAGGGTCACTCACCATGGGTCATCTTCCTCCAAGAGGTCAGGCAGCACGTTCACCAGGGCGATATAGAGAAAGCCGCCAGAGGTGAAGGGCAGGATCCAGGCCACGGTCTCTTCTGCAGCAGCAGGAGGAGAATTCCTGACTGGCTGGCAGCCCAGGGGAGCCGTGTGCATCGCACCCACTCCCCCAGGGTAGGCTTCGGGCAGATCCTGGCCTGGATACTGGGGTGGGTCCACTGTGCCCTCTGGCTGGGGCCCCTCCTCCACTGACCACCACCTGCCGCCACTGACCCACCACGCCCGTACCTACTCCCTTGGGGGACTGCGTACAGATGGCGAAGCAGGCGCCCAGCAGGCCCCCCAGTGCCGTTGAGAGCTGCAACTTGGCTGCGCTCCATCGGTCAAAGCCGGCCCGGAGCAGGATGGCAAAGTCGCCCACCTGAGGGGAGGTCCAGATGATCACTCTGGGCCCCAAAGGGTCAGGTATGGACCTGCACACCGAGCCCCCTGCACCAGCCCTGCTGCTGGGCCCCCCAGCCCTCATCCCCTAGGCTGGGACCCCACTCCCCCCAGGAAGCTGGAGCATGGCTGAGATGGTGGCTGCAGCCTGGTGGGCTGAGCAGCTCCAGGCCTCCAGAGCCTAGCCCCGAGGGCCACCACTGCTGGGCTTCCCACCCCACACCCCTCCTGAAGCCCCACACCCACACTGCCACCATGGAAAACCCCTGGCACACACCTCATGGGGGATCTCATGCAGAAGGATGGCCATGGTGGTCAGGAGCCCGATCTGCAGGGAAGGGAGTGTGTGGGGTTCTGGGTCAAGGGCCAGTCACCCACTTGTCCCCTCATTCTACAAATATTTATTCTGCTAGGTGCTCTGACTGGACACCATCAGGCTACTGTGAATACAGCAGACAAGGAACCTGCCTTCACAGCTAACAGTCTGGAGTGGGGAGGCAAGGACTGAATGAACACGCAAAGAGCCACATGACTACACAGTGCCAGGTGCTGCGGGGGGAAAAGGTGGGCCAGGTGGCAAGAGCATGAGTGACAGGGGTCTAATTTAGACGAGGGGTCAGCAGAGGCCTCTTTGAGGAAGTGCATGTCAGCTGAGGCCTAAAGAATAAGGAGCCAGGATTGCAAAGAGTGGGAGGAAGAACATTCCAGGCAGGCAGAGCAGTGTGAGATGGAGGCCATGAGGAGAAAAAGAGCTCAGCCAGTTCAAGAGGAGGCAGATCCCTAATGTCAGAGGCCAGAGGGAAGAAGTCAGTGAGCAGCATCTAGAAGCAGCCAGGGCCCAAGCCTAGCAGTCTGGCAGAGGTACGTAATCCCAGCAAGGAGTGTTCACAGTTACAACAGCCCACTGGCTCAGAGCAAAGGCGGCCCCGTTGTAGGAGCCCTCAGGGCTTCGGTGAGGGTGTTGGTGATGGAGGGAGTAGGAAGTGCACAGGCTGGAGGTGTATTTGGGAGGCAGAGCCAACTGGTCAACACAGGCACCATCACTCCCACCAGAAATGCTTGGGTCCTACCTGTCCCCCCCACCCCCCCACTCACCTTCTTGCTCACAAGGAAGCTGGCAGCAACAGCCAGCCCATGAGTGAAGTTATCTATGGTGTTGGCCAGCAGGTTGAGATAGCCACTGACCTGCGTGAGGGGAGAGGAAGCCAGACTGACCCAGGGGGCAGGGCTCAGCCGGGCCTGCCACTTGGGAGGGAGCCGCTGTGGCAGCAGGGGGCCCTGAGGGGGCCACTCACTTTGATGGTCCGGACCACGGCACTCACACCGGGCTCTGCAGCCGGCTGGGCCAGAGAGTGGCCTCCACTGAGTGCGGCGGCAGCAGCGGGATCTTTGCTGGGGGCCTAGGGCCAGGAGAAGGAGGGAGAGGGGACATTAGATGTTCCCCCATTCAGCCAGGATAGACAGGAGGGGAGTGAGAGATGAGAAACAGACAGGGAACAGGCCTTTTGTCTAGCTAGACTTCTCTGCTGTTCGATCAGCTAGGTGCCCCCAGAATCAGCTGGCCCTCCACCTTCCCCACTGCTGTCACTAACAGCCTATGAGGACAAGCCACAGCAGGGGCCAATGTCGACATTCCCCAGATCTTCCCAGTTGCCCAGCCCTTTTCACGGCTCAACTCAGAAGCTGGGCCTCCAGGCTCTGGCCACCACCTAACAGAGGCTGACCTATCCAGGCCCCGGGGTGTGGGGCTCACCTGGCTGGCCCCCTCCTTCTCCTTGCTGTCCAGGAACATCTTCTCCAAGGCCAGAAAGGTCAGGAAGCCAGCAATGACCCACAGTCCCAGCTGTTGTTGCTGCTGCAGGCTCTGCCCCTCACCACCTGCAGGGGGCAGCACTGACAGGCCAGGCCAAGCCAGGGCCATAGAAGGGGGGCCATTTGAAATGGGACCTAGTCAGGGGCAGTGGTAGGGGCAACAGGACTGGCTGGGGGGACTCCCACAGGGGGCCAGGTTGCTGGGGCCAGGACAAGTTCTCTGCCAGATGCCCAGAAGCCCTCTCCCAGTCATTCTGGCGGTGCAAGGTTGGCCTGGGCACTGGCTCCCTCTGCCCTCCTGCCCCGACTGTGGCCTCACTCACCAGGGCTGGCACTGCATGTGTAGGCCCACGCCTCGGGCAGCAGGTGGAGAAACACGTTGCCCAAAAGTCCCCCCAGGGCAAAGCTGAGCAGCTGCTTCAGGCGGCGGGCCCCAGCTATAAAATGGAGACACAGGGTTTGGGGGCTGACCCATCAGAGCCCCTGGCCAGCCTCTGCCCCACCCAGCTTACTGCGTGCTATGTTTTTCCAACCAGCCTGCAAGCCTCCAGAAGGTTGGACTCGGCCTGCTGCCCTTCCCGGACCACTCCCACCCCTCAGGCCCAGCACAAGCTGGGTGCTCAGCAGGAAATATGTCACGCCCGCTGGATGACTGTGGGACCACCACCGCTTCATGCTTAGGAGACAGGGCTTGGGAGCCCTATAGGCTCCCCAAACTACCAGCTGGTGACCCTGGGAAGGTTACTTCTGGGACTCAGTTTCTCCATCTGTAAACTGGGGGTGATTGTATCTGACAGGGACCTTGTGCAAATTAAAAGACAATACACATGGCAGGTGCTCTCTAAGTGGGAGTCTCTTCTCAGCCACTGACACTCAGAAAAGCGGCAGAGATTTGGGGACTTTGGCAGACTTGCAGCATCCAGAGTTGGAAGTGCCCGCTAGAGGCTATGTCCAAGCTCTCGGATTAATAGAGAAACAGGCCCAGAGAGCAGAGGCTGCTTGGGGGTCGGTGGGATCCCAGGGAAGCTGTAGCTTCCAGGCTGTGTAACCTCAACCTGGTCAAACAAGTCCTCTGGGCCTTGGCTTCCCCATTTCTGAAATGGAGCTAAAAATCCAGGTCCCCCCTACGCTGACCTCACAGGGACAGCATCAGAGGGACTTTGGCAATGCACAGGCCATGACAGCAGGGCCCCCGAGGCTCTATTCACAGCTGTGGCATCAGCCCTCAGCCCGGCATGAGGCACAGATGTGGTCATAACCATCTGCTGAACGAACAGTTCCCAAGCCTAACAGGCGGCAGAAGCCCCTGGAGCATGCATTTCCAAGAGGTTACTGGAGCCGGGGTCCAGGCCTACTTTGTTGCACTCTCCCATAGGGAAGCAGGCACCTGCATTTTTTGCAGCTACCCATCTAGTCTTCTTCCGTTTCCATCACGACATGTCATGTGTGCACGGATGGTGCTCCCAGGTCACTGACCCTGGGGCTGGCCTGCCCCCAGCCTCTCATGTGTTCCCGGGGAAGGCTCACCCAGGGGCCCTTGCTGGGAGGGCTCTTTTGCATTATCAGCAGAGATTGAAGGGACAGAAGCAGCACTCTGCTCGCCAGTACATGGCGGTGGCCAGCACGGGGTCTGTGAACACGCTGCCCTCTCCCCCTGCACCAGGCAGCCTTCTAAGTGCTCTAGTGGTGTGAGCTCCTTTCCTCTTCCTGGTAGTATCTGTGAGGTAGACACTAGTATTACCCCCGTTTTTAAGGTTGGGAGCCTAAGGGTAAGTAACTTGCCCGATGCCACTCAGGCTGGTGAGTGGTGGAGCCAGGCGTGGAACCCAAGCAGCCTGGTGCCCAAGTTTCCAACCGCAATCTGTATTGTTTGTTGGTGAATGTTTGCTGACTTTTATTCTTTTGGAATCAACAAACGCACAAATGAACTAACAAATGAGCGTGGGGCACCCTGGTCTCACAGGACCAAGATGAGAAGTTACGTGCTCTGCCCCTGCCTTCCACCCCAGACATGCTGTCTCCTGGGGCGTGGGACCCCACTCTCCCAGGAAGAGCAGCAACATGTTTTCCAATGCCACTGGCCAGCCACTCTGGGCACCAGAGGAGGGTCACCTACCTTCTGAGCGCAGCATAGTCCCCATCTCCAGGGGAATCACCAGCAGTGGGAAGACCCCGCTGAGCCCCACCATGAGTGAGCCCAGGAGGGAGCAGATCCAGGTGTCCAGCCTCTCTCCACTCAGCAGGGCCCCCCAGGATTCGCTTTCCTTGGTGTCCAGGCGACAGGCAGCTGCAGGCCCCCGGTTCCGGAGGGCCTGCTGGGACCCCCCAGCTCCTCCCAGGAGCTCCAGGGCAAGAGCAGTGAAGAAGAGGAGCCTCTGGCCCGCCATGCCACAGCCAGGGCAGGGACATCCAGGCATGCCACGTGCTGGAAAACACAAAGGCCTCTACGTGAGCTACACCCTTGGCTGCGCACCTGCTTCGCAAACGTGGCATCTTGATCCCCCCCCCCCCCACCGCCCCAGACAAGCGGCCATGGCATCCACTCCCCTGCTTGCCTTGCCCAGGGCCTCTGAATGGTGCAGAGCAAAGGGGCTCTACTCTTCCACACCCCACTCCCAAGGACCACACATTTTTTTCCTCCTGAGCCTGCTCCAGACTGTGTCAGCATGTCTGCCTGGGGCTAAACTTTCCCTAATGACGGGGTGAGGCGCTGGCTGGGTTCCCTTCAGCCACCGGGAGGCCCAGCCCAGCCGGGTGTCTCTAGCTGCCAGGGGAGGCTCTGCCACTGGGATGTGCTCCAGGGAGGCTGACACCCCAGGGGACTGAGGCTGGCACTGTCTAGCCTGATGGGCATCCCTGGACGGTGCAGGTGGGGGAAGCAAGCGGCGGGGCTCGGGCAGAGCCATCGGAGCATCTTCAGAGGCAGTGAGCCCCGCGGCCCCGGGCACAGAGACAGAGCCCTCGGTGGGGAGCTGCCTCGCAGACGGGCTTTGGAGACCTGCCCCGAACTGTGCTCTGCACCTACAGCTTTGAGGGCCAGCAGGTCCCGAAGCCTCTCTCCCGCCTGTTTCCTCGTCTGCAGGATGAGGCAACTGCCTCCCTCACGGGCTGGGAAGATGAGAGGAGCTCCCCAGGGCAGGCGCCAGTGCCCGGCAGCGGCAGCGGCAGCGGCAGCGGCAGCGAGGATGCGCGAAGAGCCCTCCTTACATTGCAGGAGGCCCGGGGGCCGGCGGGGGCAGGAAGGTTCCCAGCCACTGGATCACAGGACGTGGATGTGAGTCAACTAACCGAGAAGTTCAATCTGGAAACTCGGGCATGCGGTTGAAATGTGGTCTGCCCTGCCTCCTGTGACTGTGACCTTGAGCGGCGACGCCCTGCCTCAGTTTCCTCGTGCCCTGGCGGGGGTGGGAAGTCTCGACGGGAGACGCTGACCAAGCCCGGGGCGCCCCAGGGGGCCAGAGGCAGGACCGGGCCAGGCGGGACCTGGAGGCCGAGGGGGCACGCGGCGTTGCGGGGGGCCGGGGAGCGAGACGAGCGGGAAAGGAGGAAAGCAGGGGCGCCAGGGACTGCGGGGGCGGGGGGGCGAGCGAGGAGCGCTGGGCAGCGACGCGCGGGGCGACAGGAGGGGGCTGAAGACCCCGAGCGGCGGGCGGTCACTCACCGAGCGGCGGCGGCGGCGACGGCGCTCCGGGCGGCCCCGGCCATCCAGCAGCGGCGCCGCGCCCCGCCCCGGGTCTGCCCCGCCCGCCCGCCCGGGCCTCCGGCCCCCAGCCCGGAGCCGCCCCCGCCGCGCGGCCACGTCACACGGGACCTGTCCGGAACCCGACGCGCCGCGCGCCGCCGGGTCGGGGGGGAGCGGCGGTCGCGGGGCGCTTCCGTCTCGCGGCCGTGGGGGACCCGGGAGGCCGGCGCACTTCCGCCCGGACGGACACTGGAGGGGGGCGGCGGGGAGGGCCGGGCGGAAGTGGGAGCCCCAGGGGCCCGGCGCTCAGCCCCGCTGCGCAGGGCGGGGGCGGCGGCCCCGCAGGGACCGCGAGCGGCGGGGTGGCTGGGCTTGCGGGTCTGGCCGCCGCTTCCTTTCCCGGGGCCGCAGTCCCGCCCGCGGCCGCGCGGGGGCGCGCTCGGCTGCCAGGCGGCCCGCGCTGCCGGGAGCCGGGCCGGGCCGGGTGGGTTCCTGGCTCGGCTGCTCCTGCTCTGAGTCAAACGGGCCTGGCTCCTCCATGAACAAGGGAAAGGGGAAGTGCCTGCCGCAGGGAGGGGCCTAGCCCCGGGAACCTCAGAAGAGGGAATTTTATTCTTACTCATCGAATTATTTTTATGCTTTGGTTTTTCACTGGGAACCTCAGGCCTTTGTCTCCAGGGCTTGTAACCCTTTGGGGTCCAGTGCATGTTGGCCTGACACCGCTGCCCGGAACCCCCAGCCTGGGGGAGCTCTCCTCCCTTGTGCTTCCCTCCCCAGGAAGAAGCCAGGCCTGACCCCAGACCAGGGCAGCAAACAGTAGCCTTATTATAGCTACAGTGAACAGCTATAGCTGAACCCTGCCACGAGCCATTCAGGCCATTTGCTCGGTCTCCCCGAGTCCTTTTATCCCACTGAGGTGCGTGCTGTTAGCCTGGCCGCACAACGGCACGGATGGCAGAGCCAGGTCTGAACCTGGGTGTCCCTGAACCCAGAGCATGTTACGTGATAGCACTTAGTCACTTCTAGGAGGTAGGAGTCTGGCTTGGAGGTGCCATTGGGTTCGATATTCCCGATAAGGCATGTGGGTACTGGGGCAGAGACTGCCACGGGAGGGGGGCGTCCAAGCCTGTGACCCTGGTAGCTCCCTTCAACTGTCCTGTGTTGCTCTCGCCTCCTGGGGGCTCTGAGGGCACGCTAGGCTCTCACATACTGCACCTGATGCCCTGTTGCACTTCAGACTCCGATGTCTGCCTTCATAGATCCCCAGCTCCTTCAGGTGGGATCAGCTTTCCTCTGAAAGCCTCTTGTCTGCCTCAGCACACCAGGCCCCTGGGCCTGTCAGAACGCCCTCCGGAGCCTGGCCCTGAGTTCTGCAGTGGAAGCCCTGGGTTGGTTTCTTTGCAAAGGGAGGAAACACTCGGGAATGCTGCTCTGGGATCTCAGTGATGCAAACCGCCCCCTCCCCAAACCCTGTATGCAAATCACTCAATCGTAGGCAAAGCACTTCACAATATACAAATGATTTCACAATAACACAGTCAGCATTCCCGCCTCTGGGGGCTGAGGGCTGCTGGCCACCAGCAAGAAGGTAGGCAAGACCCAGCCGAAAATGCCACTTGCTGCCTTCTCCTTGTCCTTTCCTCTAACCTGGCCTGGAATGTCCACCTTCAGACTCCCTAATAGAGTAAAGGAACAGGCACATTGGGGGGTGGGGGTGGGGCTCTAGAAGAGGACCATGAGCAGGGAGGAGCAGGTGGAAAGACATGGTAGGTGGACTGAAGTGTGGCTGTTAAAAACAGTGAATTAGATCTGCCAGGGGTTTCCAGGTATAGATGAGTGAGAAAAGAAAGATGCAGAAATGATTTATTTAATGTGATCTACTATTTTAAAATAATGACATAAGGGGGGGTGCCTGGGTGACTCAGTCAGTTGGGCAGCAGGCTCTTAATCTCAGCTCAGGTCTTTTTTTTTTTTTTTTTAAGATTTTATTTATTTATTCATAAGAGACACACACAGAGAGAGAGGGAGAGACACAGGCAGAGGGAGAAGCAGGCTCCATGCAGGGAGCCCAATGTGGGACTCAATCCTGGAGACCCAGGATCACACCTTTGGTGGAAGGTGGTGCTAAACTGCTGAGCCACCCAGGCTGCCCATCAACTCAGGTCTTAATCTCAGGGTTGTGAGTTCAATCCCTGTGTTGGGCTCCACACTGGGGATGGAGCCAACTAAAAGAAAAAAAAGACAAAAGAAACCCTGTATATGTGATTATAAGTATCAGTATATGAAGTCCATCTATAATTGTGAATAAATAATAAATACAGAAGATCATACAATGGGTGATAACATGGATTCCATGGTTGGAGGAGGAAAAAACATAAAAGGAAAATTTTTAAACAAATTAAAATGTATATGATCACATTTATGTAATTATGTAAAAATTCATATATATGCATTGTGTGTATAAAATCTCACATATATATACATACACACACATATATTTTTTTAAACAAGTTTTTTTTTTAAATTTTTATTTACTTAGGATAGTCACAGAGAGAGAGAGAGAGGCAGAGACACAGGCAGAGGGAGAAGCAGGCTCCATGCACCAGGAGCCCGATGTGGGACTCGATCCCGGGTCTCCAGGATCGCGCCCTGGGCCAAAGGCAGGCGCCAAACCGCTGCGCCACCCAGGGATCCCCACACATATATATTTTTATACATATATGCGTGTGTGTGTGTGTGTGTGTAATGGCCTCCTAGCATTTTTGTTAAGACAGATTATTGTACCAGATATCTTCCAGGAGTAAATTATTTGACTTCCTGGGGCACCTGGGCGGCTCAGGTCATGATCTCAAGGTGGTGAGATTGAGCCCTGTGTCGGGCTCCATGCTCAACTAAGAATCTGCTTGAGATTCTTTCCCCCTCCTTCTCCCTTCCCCTCTGCTCCCCACTGCTGCTCACATGCATGCTCTCTCTCAAATAAACAAGTAAGATCTTTTAAAAAAATTACTTGAAAAAAAAATTACTTGATTTCCTATGTCTCAGTTTCCTCACCTGTAAAATGGATTACTGTATCAGATTGTCGTGAGGAGTAAATGAATGAACATACTCAGAAGACTTAGAACTATGCCTGGTATGTGACAAGTTTTTTTTTTTTAAGATTTTATTTATTTATTTATTTATTTATTTATTTATTTATTTATTTATTTATTATAGACATAGAGAGAGAGGCAGAGACACAGGAGGAGAGAGAAGCAGGCTCCATGTTGGGAGCCTGATGCAGGACTCGATCCCGGGACCCCAGGATCATGCCCTGGGCCAAAAGCAGGCGCCAAACCACTGAGCCACCCAGGGATCCCCTGGCATGTGACAAGTTCTATTTAAGGATTAGATATTATAATTATTATTTATATGTGTGGAGACATGGGTATAAAGAAAATGTTTACATGGCCACCTGGGTGGCTCAGTTGGTTAAGCATTTGACTCTTGATTCCAGCTCAGGTCAGGTCATGATCTCAGGGTCAGGAGATGGAGCCCCCCCATGGGGCTCTGCACTGGTTATGCAGCCTGCCTAGCATGCTCTCTCTCCCTCTCCCTCTGCTTCTCCCAGTCCTCTAAATAAAAAGAAGAAGAAAAGAAAAAGAAAATGTTACAGCAATGAACAGATAAATTAGAGACGCAAGATGAGGACCATCCTCTCCTCTCCTTGCTGAACACAGATGAGTGTTTTCCAACACATTTATCAATTGGTTTGGAGGCCACGGGGACTTTCTGGGTTGAGGCACTGGGCAGATAAACTTTAGTAAGGGCGGATAAGCCTAGACGGTGCTTGGATCTAAGCTGCTAGGAGGCGGCTGGCTGGGGGTGGGGGCAGGGCTGCAGACCCATTTCTCTGACTTCACTAGGTCTGACTTCAACACATTCTTCCCAACTCTGGTATCTTTAGTGGGGGCTTTTTTCAGCAACCAGGTCTCAGCCCTCTATTCCAGAAGGTAGGACTGGCCCTGGGCCTGTCTACGAGGTGGTGGCTGCGAGCCCTCAAGGCCTGGCATTGTCAATGTTCTGACAACCTTCCCCACCTCTGGCAGCGCAGTGTTAGACGCTCCAGGCTGAGGGTTGATGCACACTTTTTCGGCTTCCAAAGTGTGGCCTTCTCCTCAGGGTTTCCCATGGGGTCCACAGGCTGGCAGCAACCTCTTGGAGAAAGGTATCTGAGAGAGCGCCTGCGTGGCTCAGCGGTTGGCTCAGGGTGTGGTCCTGCCGTCCCTCTGCCTGCGTTTCTGCCTCTCTCCCTCTGTCTCTCATGAATAAATAAATAAAATCTTTAAAAAAGAAAAGAAAAGTATCTGAGGCTCAGGGCAGTGATCACCTAGCTGAAATGAGGCGGCTCTTAAAACCGACTCAGGCTCCCCCTCTCCAAACCACACCTGCTGCTGGGGAACCCTGCTGACCTTAACCCTCTCTCCATTCTTCCTAGAGTAGCCTTGTTCCCTAGTGAGTTTCTGGGGTGCTTTCTCCCCCGAATCCTGAGCCCTGCCCAGATGATGCCCCAGCAACCCCTAGGCACCACCCCCTTCCCCTAGCAACCCTTCCTGGGAAGCCTATGTGCAGCCAAGCCTCACTACTTTCTGTCTGGTCTCTCTGCCTTTAGAACGCCCTTTAGAACCCCCCTCCTGCCTCCTGGCGGGCCTGGCCTGTTCTTCCCCTTCGGCCATCTGTTGATTGAAATCCAACACGTTTGCAAGGCTGCCCCTCCCTGAAGCCTTCTGGATCTGTCCAGGCTGAAAGGCCCTCCGTGTCGTGTGCCTTTGGGATTGTTAAACCCTGTCCTGCTTATGGCCCCCCTCCAATCCCTTGTGGGCTTCTGGAAAGAAAGACAAGCTCTTGCCTATACCCTGAATAAAAATCTGTCCAAGAATTTTATGTCTTTCTTTCCCCTTCAGGAGTGCAAATGCAGATACTTCTGTAGTAGGCAGGCCATCTGGGCCTTTGCCAGGGAGTGGGGGATGGGGGGCTCT